GGCTGGGGCTTCAGATGATGCTCAGCAGGCCCCACCCACATTCCTCCTGGTGGGGAAAAGTGTGGCAGGGAATGTGCATCACTATGTGATGTTGCCCTTTCATCCATCTGATTGGGACAGGGCACCGACACACCCTGTCCCATCCACATCATCTGATGGGGGAAGGAGGGAGAGTGTCCGAGGCACAACGAGACACCTCCCGTGCTTTCCCTTTCACTGGCAGCTGCTGGCAAAATGGCACAGTCCCTGTGGACTATGTGAAGAGGTCCCAAGAGCAGGTTTATTGACAGCCCAACCTAGGTCATAAAAACTTGGGGAAATTGTTTGCTGTGATAGTATGAATCTATCAGTAATGTGGCCAACCTCTTTTGTGACAGTCTTCCTCTTTAATGAACATCATTAACTTCTCCAATGAAATCTCATGGTATGTCCAACTTCAGATACTCTCAGTTTAGCCATTCTTGCTTTCAATGAGAATCCAGACTAGATTTGATCTTAGATCCTTTTATTGTTCTTTTTGGCAATCCATGGTATCTGTACACCTCTTTACTATCACCAAATCTCAAGCAAGCTTGGATTTTTGTCAACTTTCTTCATTGTTCAGCTTTCAATATATGCTACTCAGGCAGGGTATAAATCCAATAGATCCATCCATTCATCAAATGGCAAGGATGATTCTGATGTTATTGTTCATGATATCTTTGCATTTTAAAATCCTTTGTAACTCTCTTTACAAGTCTTAGCCATCTTTTGAATTGTTTACATTTCAAACTATTGTGAGTGTTTGCAGTTAGTTATAGTACACAGAAACATAATCAGAAAAACAGGTGATGAAAAAGAGGAATGAGTCTGTCCAAAATCTAAGAAAATTTGGCTGGCAAGGACGCTGGAGCACTAAAAGAAAACAGTTTCTGTTATATATTGGTCACTTCACTAGACATTGTACCTCAGCCAGAAGATAAAACATGTCAGCAGCATACCAGGGTTGTTTTGATTGCAAACAGAAGTTGTTAAGTGTATAAAGGAAAAGGTTTTGTCCCAAGAAGATGTCAATGGCTAGAATGACTTCAGACTAAAAATGGAGGGGTAAAGAAAGACAGGATGTCAATAGGGAAGTTTGTGCAAGCTACATTTTGAGACTTTTAAATTGGATTTTTTTTTACTTTGGTTAAACTGTAGTGTGTTGCATCCATGGTAGACAAAATGTAGGTTCCACTTACATCAAGCATAACATTGAACATAGCAGTGATAATGATGTGGCCATCCAAATAAAGCAGTTAAAAAGGATGCGGTAAATCTATTTACAGATGTTTTATATATCGATTATGTTCAGCATTGTTTTCAAGTTTTTCTTATACACCCTTTCATATTGTCTCAAGGGCCAATAATTAGCTATCCACTTCAGACAGACTGAAAGAAAAGGGAGAAAATCTTGAAGAGTAAGCGTGTAAATAGCTTGATAGTCATTTGATTCCAGAAACAATATGTCTCATCTGGTTGTTGTAAGTTTTCCAGGCTGTACGGCTATGTTCCAGAAGCATTCTCTCTTGATGTTTCGCCTGCCTCTATGGCAGGCAACCTCAGAGGTTGTGAGATCTGCTGAAAACTAGGAAAATTGGGTTTATATATCTGTGGAATGCCCAGGGTGGGAGAAAGAACTCTTGTCTGTTGTCTCATCATTTCTAGGTGCTACAGAACAACATTCAATGAAGATAGTTGAGCTTTGTTCTACTTGTAGTTAGTTACTATAGGGAGAAGATGCACAACTTGATAAGCCATAGCCTGGTTTTATAGGGATCCTGTTGTATTTGCACCACACAAAAAATATGTTCAGTTGGAAGGGGAACATTGCACATTTCTTTTAAATAGAATTAATCTAATGCCACATTGAAGGCATTTACAACAGAGTTGTGGTACCTTCATTATTTGGTCCCAGAATTAATAATAATAATAATAATAATAATAATTTATTTTTACCCCGCTCCATCTCCCCCAGGGGGACTCGGTGCGGCTTACATGAGGCCACGCCCATCAGTGCAGTACATACATTGTAATAGGGTTACAGCCTGTGTTGGATGGGGCCGCACTCCCCCTGAAGACGCAGGTTCGCAGCTTGGGTGTGACCCTGGACTCATCGCTGAGCCTGGAACCCCAGGTTTCGGTGGTGACCAGGGGAGCATTTGCACAGCTAAAGCTTGTGCGCCAGCTGCTCCCATACCTTGGGAAGTCTGACTTGGCAAAGGTAGTCCACGCTCTGGTTACATCCTGTTTAGACTACTGCAACACTCTCTACGTGGGGTTGCCTTTGAAGACAGCTCGGAAGCTCCAACTAGTCCAACGCTCGGCAGCCATGATTTTAACAGGAGCGGAGCGCAGGGAGCATACAACCCCCCTGTTGCGCCAACTCCACTGGCTACCGATCTGCTACCGGGCTGAATCCAAAGTGCTGGCGTTGGCCTTTAAAGCCCTAAACGGTTCCGGCCCAAGCTACCTATCTGACCGCATCTCTGCCTATGAACCCACCAGGACTTTGAGATCTTCCGGGGAGGCCCTGCTCTCGATCCCGCCGGCTTCTCAAGCACGGTTGGCGGGGACGAGAGATAGGGCCTTCTCGGTGGTGGCTCCTTGGCTGTGGAACGCCCTTCCTACGGACATTAGACTAGCACCATCTCTAATGGTATTCCGCAAAAAGGTGAAGACCTGGCTGTTTGAGCAGGCGTTCAAATAATTAGTGCAATGATTGGTTAATGAACACTGGAATGGAACAATGGATGACGAATCTGGAACATGTTTTTGATGACGAGACGACAGTGAATGGGTATTGTAGTAACTGTTTATTAATTGTGTAATGTGTTAGGTTGTTAACTGTTTCTATACTGTAGCACTGAATTTTTGCTGTTCGTATTTGTTGTGAACTGCTGTGAGTCGCCTTCGGGCTGAGAACAGCGGTATATAAGTAAGGTAAATAAATAAATAAATAAATAATACAAAAACATAACAATACCAGAAAATAAAATACATAAAATGAAAAGAAATATAGTAAAAGACACAGACAATATAAAACATGCAATTAAAAACAGAGGATTTCACTGGGCAGGGCCACATTCAAAGCTAAAATTTTAAAAACTCTGGGAGATAGGATGATGCAAATCATCAGGATGAGGATCCAAGAATGAGGGAGGATTCAGTTGCATGAACCATAAATAAAGTGCTTCTAAGGACGTTTAGTGCAAAGTTTGGTCAGGGAGTTTCTTACATTCAATCACTGAAGGCACATTGGAATAGCCAGGTTTTCAGGTTCCTCCTGAAGATTGCTAGCATGGGGGCTTGCCTAATATCTCTGGGGAGTGAGTTCCAGAGCTGGGGGGCCACCACAGAGAAGGCCCTCTCTCTCATCCCCGCAAGTCACACTTGAGATGTGGGCAGGAGCGAGAGAAGAGCCTCTCCGGAATATCGAAGAGATCGCGTGGGTTTGTAGATCACGTGGGTTCGTAAAACATCATCACACAGTATTATTTAACTGGGTTTTTTTTTTTTAAATTTTTTTTGCATTGGCTTTGTTTTAAATTGATCAAAGTGTGTGGTTGTTAGCCACCTTGAGTCCCTGCAAGGAGAAATGTGGGGTATAAATAAAGTAAATAATAATAATAATAATAATAATAATAATAATAATAATAATAACAATAATAATAATAATCCTATCACTAACTAGTTGTTGATTACTTCAGTGTGCCATTATATGTACTATTCTTAAAAGTAACTTCCAATGTAATGTAATTACCCTTTCTAAAGGAAAATGGCATTGCTGAGAGATAGGAATAAGAAAACCAAATGCAATCGCTTCCCCAAAACAGCTTATGTTTTATCGGCTGCCCAGTCATCGTACAGGTTGAATATCTCTTCTCCAAAGTGCTTGAGACCAGAATTGTTCCGTATTTTGAAATACTCATATTTGCTTATCTATATACATAGTGAGATATCTTGAAGATGGAACCCAATCTAAACACAAAACTCCTATATGTTTCATATGCACCTTGTGCATATAGCATGTATGTATAGCATAGTTTTGTACAGTGTTTTTAAAATAATAGTGTTCATGAAGAAAAGTTTGTGTACATTGCATGAGCCATCAGAAAGCAGAGGTACCGCAATTTCAACTACCTATGTGAGCAGTTTGGGATTTGGGAATACTTTGGATTTTGGAATTCTAGATAAAAGGTGATGTATCTGAACTGACAGTGTATCATCTCATGCAATAATAACACTTTAACACTTTATTAAAATAAAGTTGGGAAATATTGCAATCAGATGACTTCTCGCTTAAACTAATTCTCTACTTTAGCTGTTTCAGTCTGTCATATTGTAACGTTTTGCTCCAAGCCTGATGTTTAAAGTCAGCTATTTCATCCATATGCTGCAGGCCGAATATGATATGCAGAGCTGACCTGTCAAAAATTCCAGATCAGGCAATTAACCTGTTCTCTTTACCTCATTGTGAATATTTTGCTAGAATAAATCTTTTAGCAATAGTATGTACAGAGGCGCCCCTAGGTAATTTTCAATGGTAAGCAAACAGTATTTTGCCCCCCCCCCCCAACCAATCACTGATATATATTTTCTGTTCGTCGTGGGAGTTCTTTGTGCCATATTTGGTTCAACTCCATCATTGGAGGAGTTCAGAATGCTCTTTGATTGTAGGTGAATTATACATCCCAGTAACTACAACTCGCATATGTCAAGGTCTATTTTCCCCCAAGAGTGCCTCAAGAGCGCCCCTGGGCAAAATCAATTATACTGCAAATGCTTACTTTGCATAATGGGTTGAGCCATCCCTGAGTATGTACTTACTTGGTGGAAAAACCACAGTGAGATTGCAAGGTACTCAAAACACAAATTATTGAGAATTTTGATATGATCTTGCTTTCTTAATATATAGTACTTCTTTGGAATATAATATGCATGCTAAAATTGTTAACATGCAATAATTTCTTCATCTGCAGGTCAAAGGAAATTTTGAAAAAACAATAACTAGCTTCCTTTCTTATAAAGAAGCTTGTATGAAAATGTTGCAGGAAACTACAGTCAATACTGGTAAGAAAGTAAACTGGATGCTAATTCACTGTTGTCTAGATTCAAATAAGCATGTTATTGGCCCAGTTTTCTATAACCTGTTATGCTCTTTCTCTATTGGACTGAAGACTTCCATAACTCAGCTTTTCCAAGTGGAAACAACAGCTTTGCATCTCAGTCAAAGTAGAATAAAAATAAAATACAGAAACACACATTTAAACTTTTGTCTATTCTGTATTGTAGAACATTTATTGTGCTGGTTAGAAACTCAATATACAATTAAAAAAGAAACAAATTCAACCAAAATGTAAAACATTAGAAATATACTCATTAGCACCCAAACAATCAAAACCCTTGGACAGCAACACCATTTAATTGCCCAAGGTTTGCCAGTGGACAACAGTTCAGGAACCAGATTAGCTTCCCTAGGCAGAGGATGCCCATTGAGAAGACCCACTCTCTCATGTTCCCATCAAGTATCGCGTTGAAACAAAAGGACTTGCCTCCTTGATGAACTCAGAAACCAGGCAAGCTCATATAGGAGGATATAGTCCAAAACAGATTCCTACAATTCCTGGTGACTAGCAACAGGAATCTGTTTAGAAACAGAAACGATTGAAAGAATACGATGACTGCCAAACTATGAATGCTATAGTTCCTCAGACTGCAAAGCTGAACTTGTTTACCTCTTACTTACTTGTAATGCATGTCACCCTTTTTGTCCATAAATCCTATTTTATGTATTTGTTGACTGAGATGTTTAGATTCTGCCCTTCTAGTACATTTGTGTCACTCAGGGCAGCTTATCGTGGGTAAACAGTTAATTGAAACAACAATTTAAAAGAGAAAGACAGATAGAGAAGGGGTGGGCTTCATCAAAAAATAAAGTCCATTTATGGATCTTCACTGAGTTAACTCTGCATTGGAGAATCGACAGGGTTAAATGTTTGTGCTTTTACATTCTCCAGAGCTCTTCATCACAATATTAAAGCCATAGCTGCTCCTAACAAAGGTATCCCATTTTTTGATTGGACATGGTCTTTTTTTTTTCATTTTGCATTTCCTAGCTATTTTTGAGCTACTCTTCCTCCACATTGCTGCCCTACAGCCCTATATTCCCCTTGCCTCTCCTTCTCTGCTTATACCTTACTTTTGTTGCCTTCAAAACTTACTACATAGTTAGTATACCCACAGTTAGCAACATTGGTTATGATCCCATTACGCAATTTGAAAGCACTACAATGCCACCACCCCTTCCCACTCATTCAGCATGTCTCTTAAGTCTCTAATATTTAAGGGAGAGAGTAGGAGCTTCCATGGAATGGAGGGATTCTCCCATTACATATACAGTGTCTAAATCTGGATCTCCTTCATACTACACAATTATAGCGCTATGATTCCACTTAAAGTGGATTGGTAATGCCATACGGAATCTTTGGATTTGCACTTCACAGAGTGTTCTTTAGGATCATCAGCTAGGGAGCTCCTCAGTTTTGTACTTTTTCCTCTGATGAAACTACAAACCCCAGGAGAAGTCCACAGTTTATTCAGCCATTGCAGTTGAAGTAGAATCATAGTAGAATCATAGTGGTATAATTACATAGTGTGAAAGGGCCCTGGAGCTACCACCCAAGGGCGGTGTGGCATAGGGTAGGTCAAGAATGTGACCTGAAAGGTCTCTGATGAAGAAATAATCTCAAGCAAGGGTGTGTGGTTTTAGCCAAGCCACTCTTCTTTTTCCTTTGATCTCCAATATGAGTGGGGTAAGACTGCTTTACATAGTGATACATGGTGGCTTACTGTGAATGTTATTGGGCTTCTTAAACTACATGAGAACTCCTGGATTGATTTTCTCTTACTCATCTTCATTCATTTCCTGCTGACTCACATCACGACCACATGATCTTAGCATGGTGATCCGCAAGTATACTTATATCTTATTCAAACAACACCAACAAAAACAAAAACAAAGGTATTTTATGTAAAGGCAACATTCTGTCATTATCTTAATGGTGACTCATTTCTGAACCTTTTAACTAACCCTTCGACTTTTTAAGATCATCTTGAATTTGCTTTCTATGGTTCACCACAATTCATTTCCTGTTAGTTTGTGGCAGGACAACACGTAATGGAATCAAAATAATAAATAGAAATTTTGTACTATTTTTAGTTGTGCATTTTTTAGTCTTGTTTTTTTGTTGGTTCTGTTAGATTTCCAGTGGTTTGTTTATTTAGATGTTCATAAGAACTTTGGTACAGCAACAGGCTGTAAACATAACTTCCAGATTTGGTTTCTTACATTATAAGAAGACAGCCATGGGCCCATAGTGCTATATTCCTCCTATTTATTTACTTACGATATTTGTATATTGCCTTTCTCAGTCCAAAGACAACTCAAGGTGGTTTATAGTCGGCAACAATTCGATGTGCCATGGTGGCATTGTGTGGAATCCTGGGATTTGTAGTTTAGTGAAGCATTAGAGATCTATGGCTGAGAATTCTAAAGACCACTCAGACAGCCAGTCTGGGTCCCTCTACGGAGGTTGACAAGATCGGGATATAAAAGTTTTAAATAAATTTAAATAAATAAAATGAAAATCCCAGGATACCATGGGATGTTGCCAGGGAAATTGAAGTGGATCTACTACCATATCTCTGTAATGTGAATATGATATATTTACAAGGGATGATCACAACTATCTGGTCCAGATGCATACTTTCTTTTCAACTTCACATCCCACATTCATGCATAAAAAAATTCTTAGCCATATCTATCTGAAATTTCAATCAAAGTCAGTTCTTGCAATATGGCACAGGGATAGTTGTTGAAAGATCCATAGTACTACAGTAGGACATTAAGTTAGTCTCTTATGGCCAATGCTTAAAATGGGAGCAGAGGAAATATGAGTGATTTCTTTTGGATTCAGGCCAAATTCTCCTTTGAAAAAGCAGTGGATGGCATCTCATCACACTTCAAGCATGCTTTATTACCAGATGTTTGCTTTTATACAGGTATTAATTTAATATAAACAATCCCAAGTTTTATATCTCAGCTATAATTAGTATAACTTGGTCTAGACATTCTGCATTCCCTGGGTGATCGATTGCATAAACCTTCAGTTAATGTTTAAAAAACATATTCTCTCTCTCCCTCTCTCTCTTTCTACTTTTCTCCCAGGAGTATATTGCAATGGGACCTTTGATCAGGTTGCTTGCTGGCCTCATTCGGCTCCAGGAAAGGTCTCCATTCCTTGTCCATCTTATTTACCAGGGCTAAACAACGGTAATGCAAAGTCTGGAAACAGATGCTAAATCCAAAACTGTAATGTACTGTAATATTTTATTTTCTTCCAACTCAATAGTTCAATGTTAGATATATAAGGAAAATGGGCCAAAGAATCAAAAGGGAAATATGGAAAAGCTGCAAAGTGAAAATGGCATTGTCTGGATGTTCCACAGAGTTCATGAACAGGACGTTTCAATATCACATTAAAAGTGCTGTTTGGTGCATAATAAAAGTACAGTCTGAAAGTGCTTCTTATATTCAAATATCAAAGGTAGACAATTGTTGAGAATTTGACATTCTCCAGTTGAACTGGCAAAGCTATGGCAATTCAAAACCTGGTCTAACAGATGGTTTTACCTGTGTAACACTGTATCCCTGAAGTAATTTCATATAAATGGCTGCTAGCACGAACAAATCCTGTTGTGAAGGCTATAAGCGAAATTAAATTTGCTTTCCATAATAATGGGGAATAGTGTGCTTTTTATCTTAAGAAGTATACAAGGCTATTTTGTGCATTCGTCTATATTCAGTCCACATCCACATTCCTTTCCATCATCAGAAAGAGGTGTGATTTTGGGATGGGTAGTGGTATATTGAACAACTGGAAGCTCAGCACGAAACACAATATCTTTTGCTGTGGTGCTGTATTTTTCCAAAACAGTGTGAATGAAACACTTCTTTGCAGGGAAAAACATCAATATATTGGCTAACACCAGAAAAGTTTTAAAAATGATGGCCCAGTTCCTGCATGAAGAGCTATAGCCTATATCTTTATAATCTTCCAGCTATACCCCTGACAAGACACAACTCTTCCAGTGAATGATGTCCTGTTTTTCCACAGGAGTTCCCATTGAGCAGCATTCTTCTTAGGGAAGAGAGGGAGGTCTACAAATAAAGTTTTTCATCATCATCATCATCATCATCATCATCATCATCATCATCATCGTCTACTGCCTATTGCATAATAGGCCCTATAGTCAGTGCTAGGTTTAAGACAAATGACGTCCTGTACTAGTTAAGAAATGAGGCCCCTTCCTTGTGCCCAGTAGGTCTACACTGCCTGTTTCATGGCACACTCCCATAGACTATCAACTCTATAATTATGTCTGGAATTGCTCTGAAACAGAACTTCAAATTTTGCACCACAGAAGCAAAATCCATCTTTTTTTTTAGAGGAAGATGGGCCCCCTGGCCAACAGGGCCTTGTGCTTAAGCATACCAAAGTGCAATGGCAAATTTGGCTGTGGCTATAGCACTTAGAGGAGCATTGCTTAGTGAAACTCATCACTCCACAGCATTGGCTGTCTGCAGTAGTCCCAAAACCACAGCTACATTTCTTCTCCACATTCTAAAAGGGTGAATTGTGCTTCACCTTTACTTAATTTCATCTAATATAATATACAGTGTTCCCTCGTTACCTCACAATTCGCTTTATGCGGACTCGCTGTTTTGCGGTTTTAAAAAAATAATGTATTTTAAAATAAATATGAATTTATTGGTGCTGGCAGAGGGAGGGCGCTGAGGCATTGCTGTCAGGGAAAGAGGAGGAGGAATGGAGGCTCCCACCAAGAGCAAGGGAAGCTCCCATCTGCACCTCCTTCCTACTCTGGCAAGCTCTCCTTCCCTCTGCCTCCTGGCCTGCCTGCCTACCTGCCTGCGCCATGGTGCCCAACAAGGAGAACCAGCTGGTCCCCAAAGAGATAAGCAGGCAGTCCCAAGGCCCAAAGGTGCTGGAGGCAGAGGGATCAGGGACAGGGTCAGGAGGGCAAGGGCCACCTTTGGCAGAGAAGGCCTTGGCTGGGCAGGCATACTCTTTCCTTTCCTCCCTGCCTGAGGGGTGGGCCTGACCATTCTTCAGTGGCCTTGTGTCAAAGCTCTGGTGATTTTGTAAGGAGGGGGGAAGAGGAGGAAGAGGAGGGGAGGGGGAGTCAGGTGTTCCTATTTCACGGATTTTCACTTATCGTGGTGGATCCTGGAATGGAACCCCTGCAATAAGTGAGGGAACACTGTAAATGCTTAACAGGATGCAAGTCATTTTTATAAGCACTGTATTTCCCTATAGCATTTTTTTTTAAAAAAGAGGGCTTTTTGTTACAGAAACTGGTCCATTTCCTTTCTATTATATCATATATCAGAACACTAGTGTGCAGAGATGTGGAATAGAGGGCAGTGACTGAACTTTGTTACAGTTTCCTCTGATATATTTCTCATTGGTATGGAGTGAAAAGGAGGAGCACCATCTGTCCTGTAGATTGTACACTCATTGGGAGGATAACTTGTGGGGTTAAGAACTCATGCCACAAAGGAACTGATGAAATCACAAGAATTGGAGATTGCAGATGGCCAGATCCACTTAATCTGAATTCCCCATTTAATCTTCAGCTCTGAATTATTTAACTACACCAACACTTCTGAGATTTTTTTATTTATGCAGATTCCTGCCCTTTAGTTTTAAGTCTTTGTGGAACACTATTCAAGCAAGACATTTTAAACATGGAAAACAAAGATTAGGAGGACACAAAATCATATCCATTCATCTGCATGCAAACGCCACTGGTGGTTTTTCCGTATTCAACCAGATCTCAAAGACCAATGGAGTGTCTTCATGGACCACAAACTGGGAACCAATTAATTATGCTATGTCTATTAATGTTTCTAAATCCTAAGTCAATTAATTTCAATCATGGCAAAGGAATTAAATGAAATACAATCATATCCCTTAGGAATTAAGCTGTGAAAGGGAGCTTTTAAAATCAGGGAGTTTGACATTGTTAATCCATTGATAAATATTAAGCTTTCTACAGTTACTTCCCAAATAAACAGATATCACAGAATACTACCAACCAAGCCAAGTCTCTCTTTTTTTCCTGGGGATTTCGGGCAAAGGATAAAAGGGTGACAGCGTTAGACCGTGTCTGAAAAATGAAATGTGTGACTTGACCTTTTAGCCTGTGTCTGTTTACTTTTAGGAAGTGCAGGAAATATATACAGAGTCTGCACAGACCAAGGGATTTGGCAAACGGTTGAAAACTCCAGCCAGGTTTGGATGAACCGTTCAGAATGCTTTGGGGACCAGCAGCTCTCCTTCAGAAATGTGAGCAGGGCTGCCTTTTTATGGTTTAATCCACTAATCCTCTTAATCCTCCCTTGAAATCCTCTCTCAATCAAATAGTTTCTACCAAGTACCTTACCTACTAGGGAGACTGTAATTCAGACATGATGTTGTTTGTATGGTATTGCATGAAAATTGCTAATTTTAGTATTGAATGGGGGTTAGAAGAGAAGAGAGTGTTTTGTTTTAAGAGAGACTTAAATCAGATCAAACAAGTGAATAATACGGTTCAAATCCTCACATGTGCTTCATATGACTGCATGTGAGAATCTTATTCTAGCCACACAAAATGATTCTGAGCTTGAGGAACACCCCCAACAACAGTGCAAAATTTTATTTAAAGATATCCCACCTTATGGCCACTGGTTGCATGATGTAAGTAACAGTTTTCAAAACATGGAGAAGACACACAGCCTTATAAAGAGTATATAGCAGCGGTTCCCGACATGTGGGATATTCATTGGTGGGCCGCAAGACCTAAAATAAGGCCCACAGCTGTAGATTATAAAAATATAGTTTTCTGTGAGCAAGCAGATGATGGCTACTAGATGGCATATGTGGTCTATCCAATGCAATTTTCTGAATCAGCACCCCAAATAACTAAACTAAATCTAAAGTTGACCAAAAACTAATTTGTAACCCCTTTGATATTAATGTTGGAGAATGACCCTGGTCAAGTGGTCCCTGGTCAAAGTGGTCCCTAGTCAAAAGGTTGGGAACCACTGGTATATAGGCTACTTCCCAAATGTCCTAGAAAAGATGAGTACAGATGAGAACACTTGGGGTGCTTCTTGTATTATTTATATTGTAGTAGTCTAGATTTCTCCCTCCCTCCTTTTCTCTCCCACTCTCTCTTACATACCATTAATGCTACATAAGCAGATTGCATTTCTACCCATGTACAAAAAGGTGGCACAAAGGGTATCATCTTTCACTGACAGCCCTGTGTACTTCAATGGTTGCTATTTTGGGCATTCCTGCCCATTTTGGAGGGTGGTTGAGAAGAAACTGATACTGGAGAAAGGCTGGCTATCAATCCCAATAATTCTTTTTTTAATACTGGAAGGTATCTCTGTAAACTTACAAACAAATAAGGGCATCAGGGATGGAATATCCACTTCCAGCATCATGGGACTCACCTCTCTGAACATATTTGCCATTAGATATCACTATGTCTCACAAGCATATGGGTTACCAATACAGCTAGATGTAACTGGAGTTATATGCCAGACAGATTTGCTACAGTCACATCTCTTCCCCAGATTTTTTCAGGAATTTAATTCCATTTTTGTTTCTTTGTTGTTCCTAGGGAGATGAATATACTTTGTCTGTCACTTTGAAGAACCTTTATACTGTGGGATATTCCTTTTCTTTTGCTTCCCTTGTCTTAGCATTGCTCATAATGCTACTGCTGAGGTTAGTGTACCTTGCCAGAACATGAGGGCCCGGAATTATTTGGTGACATATTTTCCTATTCTCAGGAATCTGGGTTTGCAAAGGAATCTGAAGTTCAATCATGATTAGCACCATCATGTCAAATTAATGGAAGCTTCTCTTTTCTCAAGCCAGATGTGCTCAAGCGATACTGCTGAAATGTGTTTAAGTAAGGTTGCTTATACAACATTTTAAAATCTGCACTGCTCTTATATATTGAAGCACCTAGTAAGGTTTAGCTAATGACTCGATGACCAGATAGGGTTTTAAAAAAGGGGGGGGGGGAGGGGATGCCTCAATCATTTGTGAATATTTGTTATGTTTCTAACCTGGCACAGACAAGAGAAAAAGAGAGTGACAGCATTTATTTTAAAACAGGCATCAGGAGCCACTGGAGGCTTTCTTGTTAGCGTGTGATGTATCTTAGGTCCTTTCACATTAGAAAATTATAGCACTTTAACTGCCATGGCAACATTCTAGGGAAACCTTGGATTTTCAATTTAGGGAAGGACTTTCTAAATCTTCCCATTTGCTATTTACATTCTCAATGTACTAAGCTACAGATCCCAAGATTTCATATGATATTGCTGTGGCAGTTAGCACTATAATTATTAATACAGTGTGAAAGTACCTTAAGCCTGTGGTTTATTGATCCAGACAGAGCTATCCAAGGTGCTGAATATTTGCATCCTTGAATAACAAGTGGATTTATTGCAGCACTGACATGTACCCTCCTGCTGCCTTTGACTATCCTGGTGACATGTTCTTCCAAACAGTTTCTGTGGTAATCACAATAAGATATCCCAGTTGATCACCTTAGAACACTACATCAAGCCACCACAGCACAGAAAGATGCTTTGTGTCATCTGAACTGTCACAAGACAGAGTTCCTGCTGAGCAAATTTTCTCAGTATCCCTTGTAGCTGAGGGGTTGTCACTGCCAGGGAAGCATGCAACTGTTGGCACTGTTAAAAGCAAGGTTTTATTCTGAGAAGCATGATTACCAAGAATGTGTCATGCCTCTCAGAATAAAACCAGCTTCTCTGAATCTGTAATAGAATGTGCTTCTTTCCTCCTACAGGAAACTTCACTGCACGAGGAACTACATCCATATGAACTTATTTGCTTCGTTCATCCTGCGCACCATAGGGGTTCTTATAAAAGACAGTGTGACACACCATACTTATTTTTTCATTATTTTAGACACCGAAAAGCCAAATGATTTAAATGGATGGACATCCCCCTTGGGTTCAGAGGTACTAATGCATAGTAATAATAATAAGTGGATTTTTGGGGGGTTTTTTGATCTTTTTTTTTGTCGTGTCAGGAGCATCCTGTTGTGAGAGAATTGGCCATCTGCAAGGACGTTGCCCAGGGGACGCCCAGATGTTTTGATGTTTTATTATCCTTGTGGGAGGCTTCTCTCATGTCCCCGCATGGGGAGCTGGAGCTGATAGAGGGAGCTCATCCGCCTCTCCCCGGATTCAAACCTGCGACCTGTCGGTCTTCAGTCCTGCCGGCACAGGGGTTTAACCCACTGCGCCACCGGGGGCTCCTAATAAGTGGATGAAACAGCATAACATAGCAGGTGTATTTTTGATATAGAACCACATGGGCCATCCAGTCCAACCTCCTGCCAAGAAGCAGGAAAACCATATTCAGAGCACCCCCAACAGATGGCCATCCAGCCTCTGTTTAAAAGCTTCCAAAGAAGGAGCCTCCACCACACTCTGGGGCAGAGAGTTCCACTGCTGAACAGCTCTCACAGTTAGGAAGTTCTTTCTCATGTTCAGGTGGAATCTCCTTTCCTGTAATTTGAAGCCATTGTTCCACGCCCTAGTCTCCAGGGCAGCAGAAAACAAGCTTGCTCATATATTCTGGCTGAAAACATAAGTTTTGCAGGACAATTTGTTCATTGAGCTCAATCAGAGGCATTCAATTTTAAGTATAAGCATCATTTCCTCCTAACATAAAGTAAGTGCATTAGTTTTAAATGATAAAAATAATGGGCTGACTAAACATTTTTATTAGTACTCTGAGTAGAACATCCAACTCAGGTGCCTGATTCAGAAATTCACTTCTATGCTCACTTTGATCTGGATCACTCTGAATGGTTTGGTTAAAACTAGATATTGAATATGAATAAGTCCAGATCAAATTAAGCCAATGTTGTTTAATTATTAGAGAGTTGGCATGGCATAGATCCATGTCCCTACTGAACCATAAAACACATGTATGTACTTGAATCAAAAACAATTTGCAAACAACAAGTGAAAACAAATCCCCTGTCTTCAGGACCATAACACAGCATTGCCTTAATGTGATCAAAACAGAGGTCTAAAAGATTAATCTCTATTGGAAGCACCAACAAGAATGTCACTGATGCTCCCTCTTCTCGTTGTTTTGTTTCTGCAGATGTTAACCCTATGCAGGATGGCCCCACTTTTCATGCATTATGTTGTTGGGGCAAATTATTTCTGGCTCTTGGTGGAAGGAATTTACCTTCATAGGTTACTGACCACTGTGGTCTCTGAGAAACACCAGCTGGTGAAATACATCTTTATTGGATGGGGTAAATATGAATGTCCTCCCCACCCACCCACCCCCACCCTGCGCAAGAATATTTTATTTGTGGTTTTCTTGGACCTATTGACCACAAGATTTGGGGTCCAAATGAAATTGTTTTAATCTTTTGATCTTATATACTTCTTTTCACTTAGTGATAATATTTAATATGTTTTAGTATATTTAAATTATCTTATTGTTTTGAATTCTTTTGACTTGTTTACACTGGTTTTATTTGCATGCAGGACAGAAATATGCCAATAAATAAAACATCCTCCAATTTCTCTATGTTGTCTTTTCCAGTGTTAACTATTCTTGTAGCAATCCACAATTTTAGACACACCAGGATCTTTGCATGAGAGGGCTTGTCATAGCATAATTTCCACTTCTTCCTTTCAGGTATTCCAGTGATTTTTGTCACTACCTGGGGAATAATAAAATACCAACTGGAGCATGAAGGGTAAGTCCCTCTAATTCAGTTTGTTGCTTCCTTTTCTCAGAACTTGGAACATAGCTTGGAAAATGGCCAGTGGCAGAGAGACTTTGGGAGTTGTAGTCTTAAAAAGTACAGTCCAACCTTCAGATCCATAGGAAATATATGTCTCAGGCGTCACATAGATACATGAAATAGTGGACAATAGCAAACCCTATTTTAAGTGGGACAAATGGACATACTGAGAAGAGGATGTAGCTTGTACAGAAGACCCTAAGTGAATATGTGAAACTGTGAATAAGTGAAACCATGTAGATTGATTCCATGTACGTGGTGTTTGTCTTTTTCTAAACTTTCCCTTTTTGACCTGTTTCTTGCCAGTCCAGCATCAAGTTGGGATTGCTAGAGCCCTTAGGTTGGAGATAAGCAATGGTTTACTCTTTGACAGCCTTGTGTAAACTTGCTGTGGAATTGATAATCTAGTCTGGAGCCACAAATACTTAAGTTTTTTAAATCTTGCATTTCCGATAAAATAGTACATGGTGAGATTAGTTTGTGTGATTGTTGAGGAAGTATCCAAGCTTAGAAAAGTTACATTCTCCATGCTGATTTGGAAATGTTTGGCTATTGACCAACTGGCCACCTTACAATGGGAGAATGGCATATAATTGCCAAGTTCAAGATACAACTCATTTGTTCCCAATGTTACATCTCATATATATTTTCCTGAAAGTACATTTCTTTGTACTTAGTGCAGTGTTTCTCAACCTGTGGGTCCCCAGATGTTTTGGTCTACAACTCCCAGAAATCCCAGCCAGTTTACCAGCTATTAGGATTTCTGGGAGACCAAAACATCTGGGGACCACAGGTTGAGAACCACTGACTTAGTGGGTCTTTCTTCAAATGCATGTGTTTGTGGACACAGCAAATAGAAGAGTTCTAGAGATCAAGGATTTTTAATGCCTCCCTTTCTACAATTTTAAACATTTGAAGAGTGAATTATCATTTCATTGGTGGAAAGTCAGAGTTCTTATCCTGAAGTAATAAACTTTAAAAAATGAGAATTCTTTTTTCCCCTGGGAGTTTTGACATGAAAAAACAAAAGATAAGACTCCAGTGGTTGGTTATTAGCCAAAATGTTGGGGTTTTTTTCCCCCCAAGAGCAAAAGTGTATAACCAAGAGAGAGAGATCTTGTTTTCTCATTCAGGAGAACATCAGCTCACAGCATGCAGAGCACGAAGTGCCGTGTGATGTGACTCTGCATCTTTGCCTGATTTTTTTCATTCTATGATGAAAATGTGTACCTGTGACCCAACTGACTCCAGCAGGTGATACCCTGTCTGTGGCACCAGCAAGGAGGAAATATAGGATGTGGACTAAAGCTGTCCCTTTGCCTTTTGAAAGGCTTTGAATATGGTTTATTTTTATTTTTAGAATGTGTCTTCAAGTCAATAGTGACCTTCTCATAGGATTTCCTTGGTAATACTGATTCAGATGAAATTTGCCATTGCTTTCCTCTGAGACTGAGAGAACATGGCTTGCCCAGTGGTTTCCAGGGCTGAGTGAGGAATTGAACTCTATTCCCTAAGGCCCTAATCTAATGTTCAAACCACTACAACACTCAAGCTCACAGGATTTCTTTTATTATATTATGGTTATTTCTATGCTACCTTTTTTTAAAGGATAGCTATCAACAGTCAACATTAAGCCACATTAACTCAATTAGATCAATGTAAAGTTTATCTGGCTTGCATATTTAAACTTAGTTGTTTGTAAAAGGAACCAAATGTACAAGTAATATTTAAAAGCTCTTTTTTTAAAAAAGTAGCTTTCCATTTGTATTTGCATGAGCTAACAGAACATTTGATTTTTTTTTCTCTAGATGCTGGGCAATGCATCACAACATGGCATTCTGGTGGATCATTCGGGGGCCCATATTATTTTCCATTCTTGTAAGGATAAGTGCATTATTCAATTATTGTATTATATGTTTTGACAGGTTTTTCATTGTTAAGACAGGGAACTGCTTTTGGGTTCACAATAAAATGGCACTGATCCCACTTTCACCCCCCCCCCCATTATTTTCTTCTCTCTCTGTTTAATTTAAGTGAATAGAGACATATGATCAACTTTAAAGTTTTTTTAAAAGCTCCTTGAATTCACATGATAGAAGTAAGGAGGAAGCAATAGGTCAAAAAAAATAGTGAGCAAATCTTACAATTATGAAACAAAATTAGTTTCGTATCTATATTTAGATACTTAGCTAAACCACTAAGCTGCAGAACTTGCTGACTGGAAGGTTGGTAGTTCGAATCTCCGGGAAGGGTGAGCTCCCATTGTTAGCCCTAGCTTCTGCCAGTCTAACAGTTTGAAAACATGCTAATGTGAGTAGATCAATACATACCGCTTCAGTGGGAAGGTAACAACACTTCATGCAGTCATGCTGGCCACATGACCTTGGAGGCATCTACAAACAACACCGGCTCTTTGGCTTAGAAATGGATATGGATATGAGAACCACCCCCCAGAGTTGGAGTCGACTAGACTTAATGTCAAGGGGAAGCCTTTACCTTTATCTATTGTTCTTAAGAGAGAATTATACATGTTGATCCCCTTTCAAATCACTGAAATAGCATTTCAAGTAAATATGTACATAAGTGTTATGCCTGTGCTTTTTCCTTGTGAATTCACTTTGCATGTGCCAAGGGACTGTTGCTAACCTTCAACATAGGTTTACCCTCCCTTTCAGTGGCAGATTGGATCTAAAATATATTAGTTGCCAGGAGACAAAGGATGCCCACCCGTAACTATTTTTATAAGAAATAGCAAAGATCCAAACTTATATAACCTATGTATTGGCCTCACATAACATTAATCAGAATTATTTTTTTCAGGGTTACCCATTATATTTTTAAATATATTCTCATTTTTAGTGTTATACAGTAATAATATTGGAACTTCTATTATATTTTCAAGCTACTTAAAGGGCCATTAACATATTTAACATGTTGTCTAATGTTTAAGGGGGCCCACTTCCATCAGGCATGCTGGCACCCTGGCCACTTTCTTGCCTTCCTTTTCCCTTCCTCCCCTACCCTTATCAAGCAATGCTTAACAAATCCTTAACAAAAATGAATTTTCTTTTTACAAAATTTACTGACTTTTAAAAGGGGCAGCACACAATTAGAGCAGTGGCAATAAAAATCTGCACTGTATAATTGATGCAGATTTTATTCTTGACTATTGTAGTAGACACACTGAATCTATTTGCTTTACCTACATGATAACTCACCATTCGGCCATTAATGAAATGGATCTACACCACTTGGAGCTAATCAAGTTGATACCACCCACTGACTTCATATATTTACAGCCAAATACTTAGCAAGTGTTGCATTTGCATCTTTTTGGGGAGATAAGGCAGAATATAAATAAAGTATTATTATTATTATTATTATTATTATTATTATCTTATATTACTAACTGAAATGTGTATTTTTTGAAGGTGAATTTCATTATCTTCCTAAATCTTCTAAAGCTGTTACGTTCCAAACTTAAAGCCCAGCAAATGAACTGTCGTGATTACAAATTCAGGTAAGATATAAGTTTGCCACTAGCTTCTTATGATCTCTTAAATAAACCACCCAGTGTTTGTAGTTACACTTGTGAGGGGGGACAAGTACTTTTAAAAGAACTTTTACAGATTAAGCATGCAGACAAAAATTGTCTGATCTTGCTTGACTAGTGTCCATTAAAATGAATATCAGTCTTGTGAGGTAGGAAATCACTACAATTTAGAACCAAAACAATACATGAGGACTGAGGCCCTTTCACACAGTTGTATAAAATCTCACATTATCTGCTTTGAATTGAGTTATATGGCAGTGTGAACTCAGATAACCTAGTTCAAGGCAGATATTGTGATTGTTTGCTTTGATATTCTGGGTTATATGGCTGTGTGGAAGGGCCCTGGTAGTTCTAATACCAGCTTCAAATAAAGAAATTCAAAGATGTATCCCAATACTATCAGGATTCCGTCTGTATCCATTCCTCCATATCCATAGATTCTGCATCCAACGTCTTGAAATTATTTTTAAAATATCCAAAAAGCAAACTTTGATTTTGCCATTCGACATACAGGATACTGTTTTACTATCCTATTTTATATCATGGGACATATAATAGCACCAATGACGGGCCCTAGAAGCAAACCAGCAGATACTGAATGCCCACTGTATTTCTTACTGAGTTTTGCCTCAGAGATATAATTCATTTTTATTTTTGTTTTCAGATTGGCAAGATCAACGTTTGTGTTAATATCGTTACTTGGAATTCACGAGATTGTGTTTAGCTTCATCACAGATGAACAAATTAAAGGCTTTTCCAGACACATAAGAAATTTTGTTCAACTGACAATTGGTTCCTTCCATGTAAGTTATTAACTGTAATGAGGGTGAAATGATAAATGTCTCTCTCAATAGGAAAAAACACATATTAGTTGGGGAAATCACTATCAAACCAAAATAGTAGATAAAGTATGATAGGTGGGGGAAATCCTTCTTAAATAGTAAAGAAGGAGGTGGGAAAGAAAGCATAGAAAAATAAGGAAAGAAAGAGGACATAGGATTAAATATTCTCTCTTTTAATATAACAGATGGCACCCAATGCCACACAAATTCACATTTCTGGCACAGCATCGGGTAGATGGCCTTGCAGAGCATCACATTCTAGACTCAGAACTAACTGCCATATTTTCATTCTGAAACCATTTGCTATATAGGTCTCAAGAATTGCCGTGGAAGGGTTTTTTGGATATGGAAAAAAGTTCAAGTTGGTAATTGAATGCTGGGAAGCACTCTATAGAATTAGCTGAGTGAATACCATCTCAGGAAAGAACTTTAAGAAGTATTCAGATTATGAACCATCATTGTTCCCAAGACATTTGTTTATCTTCTGTACTCATTTATTAATATAATAGGAGTTACACGTGCTATACTGCTGCTAAAATACAATTTCAAATGTGATTGTGGATTTGTTAGTCTCAAAAATGAGATGCTTGAAGTAAGTCAAGTGATGCCATCAATGCAATTTTTTAAATCTGCCTGGAAACAAATTCTTTTATGTTTTAGATAACTTCATGATCTTGCCAACCATATGCAAGAAAGTCAGATTTTCATCCGCTCAGTACAGATGGCCCTTCTTTGATGTTTTAAACCTGTAAAGGGCAGAAATAGACTGAGGAGGTGGTGAGCTTCTGATCTTTAAAGTGGCAGACCGTTTGAGGTTTTACATTCTTGGAAAGGTTACGTTCGCAGCATGAAAGCAAAGTGTATTCCCAAGACCAGACTACCATATTTCCTGTACACTCTAATGTAAAAAGCACAGATTAGATCAAAATAATATATTTCATTGGACTGATTTTAGTGGTTTCAAATTGCAAAGCAGCTGCTTCCTTGAGCAAAATTGTTCTGAGCAAAATGGAACACATAATAGGCAACGGATGCAAGTTTGATGTCTCAGTCATGTGATTTCTCAGAGATGAAGGTGATTCTAGAGCAAAAGGAAGTTAGTTGTGCTAATGTGCCACTTAGCAGCACAATGGTTTGGGTTTCAGGTGTTTTTAGGAACAATAATCAGTGATTGTGTGAATTCTTCATTCAATTGAACTTTGGTAATTTCCTCTCAAATCTAATTTCCCATTTCTCTTGCTCTTTCTTTTGCAGGGATTTCTCGTTGCCCTTTTATACTGCTTTTGTAATGAAGAGGTAGGCTATCTATATAAATAAAAATGTAATGTTTGTTTGTGGGATTAACAGAACTCAAAAACCATTGGATGAACTGACACCAAATTTGGACACAAGACACCTAACAACCCAATGTATGTCATTCACTCAAAAAAAATGATTTTGTCATTTGGGAGTTGTAATTGCTGGGATTTATAGTTCACCTACAATCAAAGAGCATTCTGAACCCCACCAACGATGGAATTGAACCAAACTTGGCACACAGAACTCCCATGACCAACAGAAAATACTGGAAGGGTTTGGTGGGCAGTGTCCTTTGGTTTTGGAGTTGTAGTTCACCTACATCCAGAGATCACTGTGGACTCAAACAATGATGGATCTGGACCAAACTCTACAAGAATACTCAATATGCCCAAATGTGAACACTGGTGGAGTTTGGGGGAAATAGAATCTTGACATTTGAGAGTTGTAGTTGCTGGGATTTATAGTTCACCTGCAATCCCAGAGCATTCTGAATCCCACCAACAATAGAATTGGGCCAAACCTCCCACACAGAATCCCCATGTGGGTCACAGCAACGCGTGGCAGGGGACGGCTAGTACAGTCATAACTTTATTTCTCACAGTTTGTTTTCCCTTTTTGGCTTCTCAAAATTACATACTTACTTAGGCAATCCCTTGTTGTCTGAAGATGAGGGTCCTCCAAGTGTAGTGTCTTGGGGATGGGTCTGTAGGTGGCTGTAGAGCCCTATTCTTGATCCACATGTTCTCCCACAGTGAAGACATCGGTTTCCAGGTAGAAGGTGGTCCCAGTCAGGGTTGACTTGGCATGCCTTCCTCTTGGTGCATTTCTCCCTCTCCATTCATGCCTCTTTGAATTCTGCAGCACTGCTGGCCACAGCTGACCTCCAGCTAGAGCACTCAAGGGCCAGGGCTTCCCAGTTCTCGGAGTCTATGCCACAGTTTTTAAGGTTTGCCTTAAGCCCATCTTTAAATTTCTTTTCCTGTCCACCAACATTATGTTTCCTGTTCTTGAGTTGAGTGTAGAGTAACTGCTTTGGGAGATGGTGATCGGGCATTCGGACAACGTGGCCATCCAGTGGAGTTGATGATGTAAGAGCACATAATAGGCATCTTCCAGCATGCTGACATTTGTCCACCTGTCTTCCCAAGAAATTTGCAGGATTTTTCAGAGGCAACACTGATGGAATCATTCCAGGAGTTGAGTTATTATTAATTATGAATGAAGGCAAAAGAAGGAAACAGGTTTGGATAGGACATTGCTCCATCTGACACTTGTACCAAAAAAATTGAGGGTGAAGGCTAACAGCTAATGAAAATGACTCCATGTCAACTCCTGTTTGGGAATGATCTAGGAAGTGCCCCTTATTCTTATCCTGTCAAGGAAAATGGCTCCTGGGATCTGAAAAGTGATGCTTCTGCCATTTAATGCTGCCTTCTAGCCAGCATACAAAACTTATAGGTGGAAAAGATCATAGCTACCATGTGGCACCAGAACTGGTCAGCTCTGAGATGCTAAGGCAACAATGAAAGGTGGACAGGGGAAGGTGGCATTTTATGCTGCATTGTCAGATGAACTTCCATTCATCCTGCAGACATTAACCAATCCCACTCTTAAGCTTTCCCTAGTCAGCAGTGAATCCACCCAGTGCAATCACTTCTAACAACAAGAGGATAACTCAATTAGCCAGACTTTAAGGTCTTCACCTGCAATTATTACAGTATGAAGTAACCATCCGTTGACCCATTTTCACCCACAAATTCCTACTTTTGCTGTAAATTTAGCGACTTTAATGGAAGAACATACTGCTGCTGTGGGAAGCTGTACAGCAGCTGGGCAGGCCTTGAGATTTAAAAACTGCACCCTAGCCAGGTCCTTTTTTTCTGTTCTTGAGAAGAAGCCTCTTCCCTGCCTCCATTGCCCTTAAAAAAGGGTGTCCCACAAATCAGAGTGAAACAGCAGTCTCCTATAGATATGTCCTTGATAGAATTATTAATTCAGACGATGCTTGATCTTCCTGACTGAGTGGCGCCCTTGGTGATTATTGCGTATTTGTTATGGGCAAGCTAGTATCTGACTAGAAATCCCAGAGATTATAAAAGTTTTTTTTAAGATTTTAACTACCAGAATTTCCCAACCCCAATGGCTATGCTCACTGGGGGACTCTGGGAGTTGTGATTCAAAATGTAACTTTTTCAAGCTTTGAATGAACTACTATTTTTTCATAATGCTCCTTCTGGTAATTAGAGAGATGGTGCAGCAAAGCTTGCTGGGGTTGTACCTCTAGCCCAGGCATGTGCAAACTTTCTGACTTGGGGGCCACATGGTGGGCCAGAGAGGCGTGGGTGGGCTGGGAGGGAGGGGGTTCTCCCCAATCCCCTACTTGCCCTTTCTCCCCCTTCCTCTTCTCATTCGTGGGCAGAAAGTGAAGGAAAGGCAGGAAACATTTGCATCCCAAAAGGGCTGGCCTTGGTCAGTATGAGATGGTGGAAGGGAGAGAAAAAGTGTATCGATTAGACCTTGCATTGCCTACTCTGATATAGAATCCTAGAAACCTAGAGCTGGAAGTGGAAGTGACCGCCAGGGGCCAGCCAGTCCAACCCCCTGCCATGCAGAATGGCACAATCAAAGCACTCCCAATAGACAGCCTCTGCAGAAAAGCTCTTGAGAAGGAGACTCCACCACACTCTGAGGGTGGTTCCACACATTGACTTTAATTCGGGTGCAACCAGGAGAAAGAGAGGGAGAGAGGGAAGGTAGGGAAGAGGAAGGAGAAAGGGAAGGAGAGAGAAAAGAGAGACTGAAGGAAGGAAGGAAGGAAGGAAGGAAGGAAGGAAGGAAGGAAGGAAGGAAGGAAGGAGACAGCGGAAGAGAGGGAAGAGGGAAGGAAGGAAGGAAGGATGAAAGGGTGGAAGGGAGGATGGAAGGAAAATGAGAGGGAGGGAAGGAAGGGATGGAGGGAAGGACAGAAGAAGAGAGAAGGAAGGAAGGATAGGATGTGAGGGGGGTGGGGTGGGAAAAGTGCCCAAGGGGCAGCATCTGGCTCCCAGGCCTGAGTTTGCCCATACCTGCTTTAGCCTCTGATGCACCCTTATTGAAGGTGTCTTAGTACTTACTTACTTACTTACTTTACTTAGGCGATCCCTCGTTGGACGAGTAAGATGGTCTTCCATTATGGATTTCCTTGTGGGTCCGTATGTGGCTGTGGAGCCCTATTCTTGCTCTGCATCTTCTTCCGCAGTGAGGGCATTGGTTTCCAGGTGGAGAGGCGGTCCCGGTCGGGGTTGGCTTGACGCGCCTTCCTCCTGGCACGTTTCTCTCTTTCACCCTCCACTCGTGCCTCCTCAAATTTTGCAGCACTGCTGGTCACAGCTGACCTCCAGCTGGAGCGCTCAAGGGCCAGGGCTTCCCAGTTCTCAGTGTCTATGCCAGAGTTTTTTAAGGTTGGCTTTGAGCCCATCTTTAAATCTCTTCCTGTCCACCAACATTCCGCTTTCCGTTCTTAAGTTCGGAGTAGAGCAACTGCTTTGGGAGACGGTGGTCAGGCATCCGGACAACGTGGCCGGCCCAGTGGAGTTGATGTTGGAGGACCATCGCTTCAATGCTGGTGGTCTTTGCTTCTTCCAGCACACTGACGTTTGTCCGCTTGTCTTCCCAGGAGATTTGCAGGATTTTCCGGAGGCAGCGCTGATGGAATCGTTCCAGGAGTTGCATGTGACGTCTGTAGACAGTCCACTTCTCACAGGCATAGAGCAGGGTTGGGAGGACAATAGCTTTATAGACAAGCACCTTGGTCTCCCTACATGTCTTAGTATGAAGCAACAAGAGCTGGTGCCTCTCATGTTGCTGGAACGACAAATCCACTCTCTTTTATAAGTGAGCTGTTCAAGATTCTGAACCTATTATGGTGATAGGATTTAGTACCATGAGCAGTACCCTAAAGTTTCAGTTAAATCCTGAAATGCACTTCCATTAAGATGGAAGCCACTAGCTACTACTGGTCTGACAAATCGTGCAACAGAATGCAGTAGAAAAGAGTGAGGCTGGGGAGGATATTTCATGGCCATTTCATTTGCTGTGAGACATACCCTACCCTTTCCATTGATTTTTCATGCCCACTTGCCAAATAGTGTTTACAAGGAGTGAATGTTACATATGCAGATATTTGAAAAAATTGGTTTCTATTGCTGAATCAACTGGGCTGACCTTCCTCCTGGTATGCTCTTGTGCATATTTGGAGTAGAATTCAAATGGAAATGACAAATTCAGACACACATCCAGATACAAATCACCCTAATGGCATGCAATGTAGATAGATGGCATCACTGTTTGCATTCAGATGGATAGACCAGGTATATAAAAGTATCTTCCTGGATTATCAGTGAAGCATTACAATGCACAAATGGAAATTTTATGACTCGTAGTCCATACCATATCTGTTACACTGGTTGTTTTTAATCTTTTCCCAGGTAAAAACCGAACTTCGCAAACAGTGGTCCCGCCTCTTGCTGGCTTACCCTTTTCTTGGGAAAAATATCAAGCAGCTGAAAAGATATCCAAAGAAATCCCATGTGAACAAAAATGGCTTCCCTATGGTGGTGCCTTCTGCTCAATGCATCCAACTGACAAATCAGAGAACAGGCAGCAGCTGCAACATGGTGCTCAACCCCCCATTGAGACACAATCCCAGAGCGAGCATCTCAGACAGCAGTGAAGGAGAAGTCACAACTGGGGAGACTATAGAAGAAGCTTGTGAAGAAAGTGAGAATTAGATTTGTAACAAATGTCAAAAAAACTGAAGGACCTTATTGAGAACCACCGAAGAATCTCATATCATGCCTTGCATGAAAGCTACTGGAATTACAAATCCAGGGTAAGGAAAAGACAAAAACAGTTTCCTGGCATTTTGCTTCTAATCTGTTATTTATTGCCTCCATGAAAACATGACTTGGGTGGTGCATGACATAGTTTCCCTTTGGTCTCGAGTGTGGAAATATAAGCAGTGGAGTGATCATTCCAGAAGAGACTCCTGTTTTTTCTCAAATTTCCTCTGGACCTCCCAGTATTGAACTCAACTAGAGACTAAAGACCTGTGCAGCTGAATAAGGGATCAGTTCCCATGGGACCGCTTTCTTGGTTTCCCATAAAGGACAACAGTTGCAATGCTACTGAAGACATTGCTGAATTCCCTCCACTCCACTTCAGCAGTAAAGCAATTAACTGGATTGGTAGTTGCTGGGCTGCACGCGGATCATTTAGAAGCTCACATGTATATATTTATAAGCATATTTTCCAACTTTTGTTTTAATATAATCATAATAATAGCAACAACAACATATTGCTTGCTCTTAGTACATGGTTGTTAAGATGTCTTCTGTATCAACCAAGGCAGAACATTATTTTATAGTCCTTTCCCTCCCCAAAGGCCTGTACATGAAGTCATTATCACTTTCATTTTAAAGATTGAAAAATATTTGGGTTTACTCAGAAGAGAAATATGTGAACATCTATGAATTTCTAGTTGGAAAGGAAAGATTGAGGAAATGATTCTCAGGTGGCTTTACTTGCCAAGTATCTAGTCAAGGTATGTTGTAAAATTTAAAATCCAATGTTTCATCCCCACTAAAGTAGAGCAGTTGAACCAATGGGATTTGCATACATGTTTATTAGCAGTTGATTCCCTGGATCTCCTCTTGGTGAAACTACTAAATAGATTTAGGCCTTATGAGTGTATGAACAAACAAGTGAACACATGGAGCCATGTGAGCTTGATTCCAAACAGTTCCTTCTCCTCCTCTCATCTCCCCAATGCCAAACAATACTGCTTTGGACTGCCACTTTCAGAATCCCTGATCAGTCCAGTATGCTCGCTGAAAATTCTGGGGGCTGTAGTCCAAAAGTAACATATCCAAGGTCCTTTCCCCTAAAGCTATGATCTTCAGTAGAGAACCAGCATGCCTTTTCATTTTAACTATGCCATTCTTCAGAATCTTTCTGGGTTCCTTTTCTTCAAATATGAAATAAAAATATAGATACTCCTGACACACCAAAACATATTCCTGCTTACCTGCCATCCCTAGAGCCAAGAGAAACGGCTTGATCTATTACAGGTTTTGCCCAAGCACCCATAGTTGTTTTTATTTCAAGAGATAGCAATATTACCACGTGGTCATGCCTGGATTTTCACAGGCTCAAAGTGTGAACATGCCACAGTGTTATCATTCTTTACAATTTCACTTCATGCTGTGACAACCATCTGCTTAAAAGACATGTCCTCCATGATGTGAAAAAAAGACTCACCCTTTAGTGAATTAACTGAAAAGACATGAGACAGTTCATTTAATTGTAATTTATCTAAGAAGAAGGCAATTATATTATAAGTCCTTGTTACCCTTGGTAACAGTCATAGTATAGTGGTTTGAGCATTAGTCTGACTCTGGGAACCAGGCTTTGAACTAATTTGTTGATACAGGCTTCCTCCAAATTAGTTTCTGTGCAGAAGCATTAGTAGGGTTGGTGTCACCCAGTGCAGTAATTCAGAGATTGCTTCACCACAACCATCCATCTGCAGGTTGAAAAGTTGCAGTCAAAATACATGCCCGTTACCATCAAAGACACATTTTAAAGGTAACACTATAAAATACCAACTTGTAGATATTTTGGTGCCACCTGCAAACATTTCCCCTTGATAAAAAATGCATTGTTCAATTTGCAATCTGTTTATCAAGTGGTAAATGGGTTTAGAATGGCACCAGACTGCTGTTAATGTAGGCGCCTCTTCTAGCCATGAAGGCATGGCTGGGTTCCCAGCCTTCTTGGAAAAGGGTTTCCAATACCAGAGTCCCATTGGAGACCTCTGATCTTCATTCTTTATATGAAGAGTATCTGACTGTTTGCTAATTTATTTTGAAACCAAAGCGGAAAGGGGCTTTAATAAACTGTCAGGCATTATAAATAGAGGCCTTTTTTGTAGAGTCTTGGCAACAGTGGAAACAGAGCAGTGCCCTGCCTTCACAGAAAGTAATAAAAGGGCATTAAAATGTTTAGCTCAATTCAATTTCAGGTTGTATCACCAGATTATCTTCCTGTAGAATATTGAAACATAATCCATCAGAGAAAACTGAAAGAATCAAACTACAAGCTACTGACCTTAAAAGTCTGATTGGAAGCCTTTTTTTATCTGAACTTTGAGATCAATAATGTAAGGTGAGTGGGAAGTTTTAAAGGCAAATTGGGTGTTAGACATTTGAACCTGATCTTGGGAGAAAGGTGGGATATAAATGCAGTACATCTGAGGAAATATAGTCTACAAAATGTATGCTACCAACTTCAGTTAGTCTCTGACACGTTACAAGATCCCCCTGCATATGAACTTCAATACTGAACATATTGTAAGTACATATTTAGCTACATTAGGAAAAATAGATATTGGATGAAGGATTTGAAAAGAGAACTTGCATTTTTTCTTAATTTGAATAAAATGCAAATAATGTGAGCACCCATTTTTAACCAGGGTAAAGGCATTAGAGTAAAGCCAGAATTCTGTTGGTGACACATGCAGGCATAGAGTGCCTTATGTATGGGGAGTGTTTTTATTGGACATGCCACACAGACATATCCAACTGCTGGAGACAGAAAAGAAACTCTGCAGATCATAGTTCATTAGTGGACACAGTCCAAAATGGGCTTCAACTCTTTCCATAATGTGGTCTGAGGTCCTGCCCTGGAACAAGAAAATATCCCATGCAGAATATGTATCAATGTGCATCACCCGGTGCAATACAGTTGAACATGAGTTTCATCCATGCAAATCTAGAACTGATTCACATATATTATGTAGTAGTCAGTATAATAATGGTCTAATTAGGATGGATTATGTGTTCTCGAAGCCTCACAACCTCTGAGGATGCCTGCCATAGATGTGGGTGAAACATCAGGAGAGAATGCTTCTGGAACATGGCCATACAGCCCAGAAAACTCACAGCAACCCTAATATGGAATATATCTCAGTTAGCAGTTGTTTGCACAATGCTGGAGTAATCTAATATTTCTGCTTTCATGTTCCATCAATGCTTCAGAGTAAACAAATAGCAGCCATGAGATAAGAGAATGTTTACTGTTGAGCTGAACATTGGGTCACCTGGTTGGTCTTGTGTGGAGAGAATGCTGGATGAGATGGGCCTTTGGCCTGATCCACAGCAGATCTTCATTTATTTTTAGTGAAAAACCAACTGAAGAAGAATGTAAAATAGAGGACAGGAAAACAGCCCAACAAAAAAAAAAATGAAAATGAACAAAATCTGGCTACCAGTATTAAAAAACTCAAAAATTACAACAGCAAAACAACAGAGGGGAAACAAACAGGCACATAAAATCACTCTCAACAAAAGGTTCCCCCCAGGCCCTTCCAAGCCATTGAATGCTAATCAAGGTGATCAGTTGAAACATTCACAGCTAGCCCCAGCAGACAAAAGTCCTTTGTCACACCCTGGTCATTCCACAGATATATAAACCCATTTTTCCTACTTCCAACAGACCTCACTACCTCTGAGAATGCTTGCCATAGATGCAGGCGGAATGTCAGGAGAAAAATTGCCTCCAGAACATGGCCATATAGCCCGGAAAAACCTACAACAACCCAGTGATTTCGACCATGAAAACCTTCGACAATACAAAAAAATAATAATCTTGGTACCTTGGTTTTTAGGCCTGTTCCTGGGGTTATTTGGGCTGCTGATTCAGAAAATTGCATTGGGTAGACCTCATCAGCTCTAGTTTCTTAAATATGGTTCAATTTATAATGGAATGTTTGTATCACAAATCACTGCTTTTGATATGAAATAAGTGGATTTTTCAAGCAGAATACTTTTATTTTAATGTTAAATGTGTTTTCTTCATGCTTAAATGATATTAATTTAAACTACATTAAGATATCTTGATTTTTTTTATTGGTGAGCAAAGTGAAGACTGGTATGTGGTATATGTTCTGTATCTCACAATTGGAGCTGATAGGTGAAAACAGGTGCCATTTTTTAAATCAGCAGGTCAAATATACTCAGAAATAGGTCTAACAGGCACCAAAATGTGTGTTGGTCAGTGTAGCTTTCACAGTGGATGGAAGCAAACAATATGAGTTAATTACTCAAAGCCAGGTGAGTTAATTATGAGTTGATTATTCAAAGCCAAGATGTGCAGGAAGGAGATGAACATCAGAATAGCAAATAGGATTCAAAGTAAATAAATAACAACAAAGAGATAATAGGGTTTTGGTAGGTAACTCAATGAAAGCAACAATTCAGTCACTATGTAAACTGCAAAGTTTCACTCTAAGTGCCTTAGAAAAATAGAAACTTATGCAATGTGGTCAAATTTGGGGAGCTATGGATAATAATAGTGACCACATTGTTGGACATCACAGTTTGTGAAGAAAAATTGTTCTCTTAGCCAAGAGAAACAAGGAAATGCTAATAGCTTAGAAATGTGATAATTGGGGTAGGTGACAGAAGTTTACAAAATTTGGCACAGTATGGGAAAAACAAGAAGAGGGGAGAGGAAGGACTTTCTTTCCCACATCAATAATGACAGGCAGTGATGTCAATGAAATTCATTAACCGGAGAATCAAGACAGGGAAAAGACAGTACTTCTGCGAAAAATGCATAGCTATAAAAGACACTGTTCCATATTGGTTCCATTGAACTTCTGGTTTCAACAGCAGAGTGCCATGGAAAATTATTGGTAGCCTAAATAAATTTTTGTATCAATTACTTGAGGTTTTTTCTCAGCTGCAGGGGAAAAAAGTACTAAAGAAATATCTGTAAGCTCCTTCAGCAATGACAGATTTTTTTTCCCTCAAAAGCAAACTTCTAGCTTTCCAGACCACAGAAAAGATTTGAAACACTGGAGAACTCTGCCAATAACATTTTGACTGCGTTCCAGGAGTGTAGGAGTACTATGTTTTAATGGCCCATTTCATTAGCATTCCTCATGACCCCTTTACATCTAATTCAATTTGTCTAATGGTATCCAATTTTCCATGACTTCTAGTTCATCATTTTTATCTTTGCAGAAAACAAATAATTCTCCTAGATTTCACAAACTTTCCATCCCAAGGTATAACCATTAGGGGAGGATTGACGGCATTCTCCTGTGGAATAAGAATTCATACACCCTGGCCTGTTGCAGAAAATTTCCTTCAGTCTCCGCCTTTCTAATATTGTAGGAACATAAACTTAATTTGACCATTTAGAAACAGAGCACTATATCCAGACTAAAGAGGTGACAAAATAACCATGGCAATGGAATTTTTTTAGTGTGAACAATTTTTAATGTTTCACTTATTTTAAACTGGCAATGCTAGAAATTTGCCAGCTTAAAATAAGAGGTACAATTTCTTATTTGAAAGGACAATGCTCTTTTTCTTCTCTCTATTTATACCACCCCACTCCACCAACAACAAAAAGAAATCATTCTAAGCAAATATATAATTTTACCTCATCTAGTGATATACAAACAACACTAGCACACTGAATTTTTCTAGCTTTCCTTGAAATTGCTCTTTAGAAAATTTGCTTCAGATGAAATCCTTGGTTATATCTATGGTTTTTCCCCAGCCACATTTAAAGGGGCACAGTGAAGAACTAGAGGCACACTGCTCATCAGACTGGCTCTTGCGTAACAGCAATTTGCTGTGTTACAGCAATTTGCTGTGTTATTAAAGTGATTTCAGCTAGAGAAGTCCACCTGCAGTTAGAGAAGTCCATACCTGGTGAATCTTCGCTAAATCAGATCAGCTAGAACAGAGTACAGACACTCCAGGTTGAAAGCAAGCTACAGAGGTTTATTATAATTTGGTCAACAAGGATGCAAGTAAAAGTAATATGCTTCAAAAGGCATAAGCATAAATTCACAGAAAAATACACGACAACTTATACAGTTCTGAAAGCTATTTCCACTCCTTCCCCTGATTGGCTGAAAAGAGAGGCAGGCTAGGATTTGCTCCCAGATTGCTTGGGGATTCTCTTGATGTCTGCAGGAGAAGACTTCTCTGGTGGGAAGAAAGACAGGTGGTTGCTGAACAGTTTAAAGAACCAATTTGTTGCATGGACACCCCCTGGGAAGTCACAATCCGGGAGGAAATGGTGATGTTGATATGCTGATGAATCCCTGATTAACTCAAGTGTCCAGTTCTGTGTGAAACAAAAGTGCAAGATCCAAAACACAAAGGGGGTAATTCCAGGCAATCAAGGGTTTGGCTGTCTGTATAGAGAGTTAATGAATTCATATTTACTGTTCACATTTACTCCTGTCTTCTGCAGAAGTGGCAGACTCACACTGCCACAAGTTGAATGGACAAAAATTCTGAGCTTATTCTGGTGACAAAGAGGATCATCTATCTGCATATATACACAAAGGTTTTGATAGTTATCTGGATTGGTAAATAGCTAGAGGGATCCTGGCCATATTCTCCTTTCCCGAGGGATTATGCAAACAGAGGACACAGAAAGGTAGCTGCCTTAAATTTTGATACATTTGATACAGTTTATACATTTAAGAATCAACACAATACATAAAAGATAAAAGTTACACAAAAAATCTCAAGTTTATACATTTATTGAAGGGTTAGATTTGACAGAGTTGGTAGGGTACAGCTGCTGCTAGGTCCATTCCAGACTCTCCCTGGCTTTGACCTTTTTTGCAACTTTGGAGCCATGGAAAATGTTTTAAAAATAAAAAATTTATATCTTGCTTGGAGTCCCTTGGTGATCTATAAATCTTTTTTTGCGTGGGGGAACGGTGGCATGGATCAACAACATAATTGTAATGGAATCAAAAGGAAACAGCCATACTGACAAGCTATTTTCCCTCTGCCTTCCTTATCCACATGTAATATAGTCTTTTAGCTATCTCATATTTATCAGGAAGAAATTAGGAGATCAACTTACCTTATATAACTA